GTTCACACAGCCCCGCGTGCTGGACGGGCTGCGGACAGCTCCAGACGAGGAAGAACAGCGCCTCGCGGCAGAGCCGGCCGGCGGGGGCGTCGGCTAAGTAGCCGGCGCCCTTGGTGGCCGTGAGGGCCGCTTGAGAGGCCCGCAGCACGAGGCTGTTGGACCGTTGGCGCAGCGATTCGCTGCTGCACCGGGGCTCGCCCGAGGCGGCGGCGTGGAGGTCGGCGAGGACCTCGGCGTGGTCGGCGGTGAGGGCCTCCAGCGGCCCCTCAAGGTCGGGCCGCTTGGTGGCTTCTGCTCGCAAGAGGACCAAGCTGGCGGCGGCGGAGCCAAGGGCGAGCGTCGAGGTCTGCGGCCCGCCGGTCGCGGCGCCGACGCCGTGCTTGAGCACTTCGGGGATCGGTCCGGCGATGACGTACTCGTCAGCGACGACGGCGCCGTCGAACCGCACCGGGCCCGTGCGGCTGGCGGTGAGGGCGACCATCGCAAACGCCGGCGGTGTGCTGACGCTATTGAGACTTGTCGGCGCTGCTAGCAGCACTTCATCCGCCGTCGGCTCACCCGCTTCGTCGAGCACCGTGGCGCCGACGACGACGTGCTCCGCCGCCTCCGCGCCGGTGACCCACGGCGCCATGCCTTCGAGCCGCCAACCGCCAGCGACGCGCGTCGCGGCGAGCAGCGGCTTCTTCAGGTGGCGGCCGCTCGTGGTGAGGTGCGAGATGCCGACCGTGGCGAACGACTTGCCCGACACGAGGTCCGGCAGCAGCCGCTCTTTGAGCGCGTCGTTATCACCCACCGCGATCCGCCGGCAGGCGCCGGTGCGTTGGGTGATGATGAACGTCGTGGTGAGGCACGCCTCGCTGAGCGCGAGGTAGCCGCGTGTGACGTCGGGATCGCTCCACTTCTGCCCGCCCAAGTGGTTCTCGAGGAACCACTCGAACACACCCGCCTCGCCGCAGAGCCGCATCGACTCGGCGGGCCAGGCCTGTGAGCGATCGACTTCGGCGGCGCGCGAACGCAACTCGTCGCAGAGCTCGGTGAGCGCGTCGTCGTCGGGTGAAGTGATGCGGGGCATGAGGTTTAGCGTAGCACCCGTGTCGGCACGACGCGACTCGCGCCGTCGATTGTGTTCACGCTCAAAAAGACTTGAGCCGCGCCCGTTAGGAATCGGAGTCGCGTCGATGGCGACTCCGCTTTCTGACGGGCGCGGCTCAAGATGAGTCGGTCGATTAGCTCTTACCGCATCCCCATCTCGCTCGACATGCCGCCCGCGGCGGGCAGGTAGCAGTGCGTCACGTAGTCCTGCACCATGCGGTGGGCGCTGAAGCGGGCGGCGAGGGTCGCGATCGAGTTGACCATCCGCGTGATCCACTCGTGCGGCAGACCGTCGGCGTCACGCTCGTAGAAGCAGGGGATCACCTCGTCGCTGAGCACCCGGAACAGGTTCTCGGCGTCGCGCGTGTCGGTGATGTCGGTGTTGACGTGCTGCTGGCCTAGGCCGATGGAGAAGCCGTTCTTGCCGTTGTAGGCCTCGGCCCACCAGCCGTCCAAGATCGAGCAGTTGAGGCCGCCGTTGAGCACGACCTTCATACCGCTGGTGCCGGAGGCTTCGAGCGGGCGACGCGGGTTGTTAAGCCACACGTCGACGCCCTGCACCATGTGACGGGCGACGTTCAGGTCGTAGTCTTCGATGAAGACGACACGTCCCGAGAACCGCGAGTCCTTGCGCAGGTTGGCGA